TCCCTCCCTCCCTCCCTCTTTCTTTCTTTCCTTCCTTCCTTCTTTCTTTCTTTCTTTCTTTCTTTCTTTCTTTCTTTCTTTCTTCCTTTCTTTCTATTTTTAATGAAAAATACAGAATACTTCCTGAATCTGCATGCTAGCCTCAAGTAGGGGCCATGCTTATCTTCTCTGTATTGTTCCAATTCAAGTCCATGTGCTTCTGAATCGAGCACTGAGATGAATCCGAAAGAGGTCTTAATCTTCATTTTCCTAATAGATAAGGATGGTGAACACTTTTAAGGGTCTCCTGAGGAGGCAGAGGCAGGTGGATCTCTGTGAATTCAAGGCCAGCCTGAAGGGAGCAGGCAAAAGCAGCTGGCTTGAGTACTGCCATTTTGACTTCAGACTCCATTTTACCTGTAGGATGAAATAAAGTTGAGGTTCCCAGGCCCCAGAGGAGCTGAGAACTTTCTAATGGCCGATCAACCTCCTCCCTAAACCATAGAAATAGTCGCCATCCATCTTTAGTTCTCTGAAACATTATGGCTGCCCCTAACAACAGAAAGAACAAATGCATCTGATTGGTTGGACTGAAGGCTTGCATTGTATGTCGGTTGACAATGACGGACCACACAAGGGAAGTCCCTAACCTTTGATTCCTGATTGGTGAAAATTGTCACTGTAACTTGGTGACAAATGGGTTTGTGATTTTTGTGCTTATAAACCTCACTTCTGCCCCTGCTCGGGGATGTCGGGAGGAAAAAGACTCCCGAGTCCTTGTCCTGCAGCCCTGATGGATGATCAGTGCCCTGCTTATGTGGTGGTTTAATAAAATCTTTGGAACCCATAAGCGTTGTTTCTCTCCTTCTTCGTGGCGCAAAACGGGCCAGGTGTAATGAGCCAAAGCTATATAGTGAGATCCTGTCTCAAAACAAAACAAAACAAAAATGTCTCCTAGCCATGTGCATTTCTTCTTTTGAAAACGTTGTGCTTAGTTCTGTAGCCCACTTCTAACTGGGTTGTAAAGATTCCCATCAGGGCCGCCTCTTCCTCCACTGAACGTCTCCTTTGCTGTGCAGAAGGGTTTGAATTTCCTGGGATGCTGCTGTCAGCAGCTGGTCTTCTTTCCTGGGCTATTGGAATCCTGGGTAGAAAATTACTACTGGACTGGAGAGAGAGCTCAGCTGACTGCTTTTCCAGAGGACCAGGGTTCGATTGCCAGTACCCAGCTGGGAACTCAGCCAGGAGGCAAAGGAAAGCAGATCTGTGAGTTTCAGGCGAGCTCTGTTTACATAGTGAGTTCCAGGACAGCCAGGACTATGTAGAAAGACCTTGTCTCAAACAAACAAACAAACAGACAAACAAAAACATTCCTAACACACACACACACACACACACACACACACACACACACACACACACACACACAGAGCTGTTCACAACCAACCTGCCCCTCTAGTTGCAGTGGATCTATTGCCCTCTTCTGGCTTCTGGGGGTACTGCACACACACACACACATGGGCAAAACACCTACAGATATTAAATATATAGATAGATAAATAGATAATATAAATAAATAAATAAATAAATAAATAAATACATTACCTATACCTACATGTTGGAGCACACTCCCTACCTTTTTCTCTAGCAATTTCAGAGTATCCAATCAGGTCCAATCCACTTGGGTTTGAGTTACAAGGTGAGAGACAGGGATTTGGTTTCATTCTTCTATGTGCTGACATCCACATTTTCCAGCATTGGCTGCTGAAAATGCTGTCCCTTTCTCAATGTTCATTTTTTGGCAACTTTGTCAAAATCAGATAGTTGTAGTTTCATGGACTTATATCTGAGTATTCTCTTCCAGTGATCTATATATCTGCTTTTCTGTTATTAACATGCTGTTCATAGTACTATGGCTCTGTAGAATGATCTGAGATCAGATAGAATGATAGCTTCCATGGTGTTATTTTTGTTTAGGATGGCTTTGGTTATGCTTGGTTTTTTGTTTGTTTGTTTGTTTGTTTTCTGCTTCCACACAAACTCTAAAAGTATTTTCTCAGTTGGTTAGTGGTGCACACCTTTAATCCCGGCACTTGGGAGGCAGAGGCGGGTGGATATCTGGGAATTCAAGGCCAGCCTGGTCTAAAGAATGAGTTCCAGGATAGCCTGGGTTGTTACACACACACACACACACACACACACACACACACACACACACACACACACACACTAAAAAACTAAAACCAAAACCCAAAAATAACCCTGTCTCAAAAAAAAAATGTTTTTTCTACCTGTGAAGAATGGCCCTGGATTTTTTTTCTGGGCAGGGGATGTGGCATGTTCTAGTCAGGGTTATCATTGCCGTGATGAAATACTATGATCAAAGCCACCTGGGGAAGAAAGTGTTTCTTTGCTTACACTTCCACAGCACTGTTCATCACTGGAGGAAGTCAGGACAGGAACTGAAACAGGGAAGGAACCGGAGGCAGGAGCTGATGCAGAGGTCACGGAGGGGTGCTGCTTACTGGCTCAATTCCCCTGGTTTGCTCAGCCTGCTTTCTTATAGAACCCAGGACCAGCCCAGGGATGGTACCACCCACACTGGGCTGGGCCCTCCCCATCAATCACTAATTAAGAAAATGCCCTACAGACTTGCTTACAGCCCCATTTTATGGAGGCATTTTCTTTTTTTATTTATTCTTATTTTATGTACATTGGTGTTTTGCCTGCATACACGTCTGTGTGAGGGTGTCAGATCTTAGAGTTACAGACAGTTGTTACCTGCCATGTGGGTGCTGGGAATTGAATCCTAGGCCTCTAGAAGAGCTCTTAATTGCTGAGCCAGCCCCCTGGAAGTATTTTCTTTCTTTCTTTCTTTCTTTCTTTCTTTCTTTCTTTCTTTCTTTCTTTCTT